ACTAAAAACATGTTAATGATGAGTTTCATGAATAAACATGCTCTAAGGACTCTCCTAGGTCATCTAACGTGGGTCCAAGAACTATGCATGAAAATGTTGTCAGTGACACGTCAGTGTAACCCGAGATGACCCTAGCGCGTCAACGCAAAATGACAAAAAACTCCTTTGCCGAGTAAGCGCCTCCTCATGTGCCTTTAACGGCGCCGATCAATAACCTATCCAATAAAAAGATGACACGTGTTGCTATATTGGTTTATTTGCGCTCGCTTTGGTTTGCTTCTAATCCGGTTCATCTTATTATATGATTATATTTGGTTCCTTTACCACTTGGTTTGGAAGCAATAAATCACGGTTTCCGTTTGATAATTTTACCATGGAGATAACTTTTCTGAAATAACCAGATCATTTTGCGCACGTTTGCCAATTAAAACGTCTAAATAATCACGTAAACTTAGAAGACAATTTCACGTTTGTTTAATAAGTTTTGATCATTCGCTTAGACTAATACATAAAATCTTCAACAGAACAACACCATTGGTACACTAGTAATTGGTTTGCAGTGAAAATTTTGGATTTAATTACGAACCATTAGTTTGATTTTGTTTCATTACAAATTTGTTAATAACGAAAAGAATAAGAAGGTTCCAAAGTTTGCGGACCAGCCATCATGTCGGCACGATATGCAAAGAAAGACAAAGGGACGATTAATAGCCGTTGGATTACCAAGAAAGTTGGAATCATGTGCGCTCTTTCTTAGCGAACGACGACCATTTTTGTGGGAGTCAGATTTCACCCCTATGAGATCGATATGGCGATGAGATCAACTCCACAACATCTTGACGAACTCAAAGCAAGTCTACAAAGGCTCAGTCTGAAGCTAGGCCCAAAATGATATTAAATCCATAAGCAAAATGGGTTTAATTGAATAATAGGCATAAATTAGATATATTGCTTAATGGGCCAGGTCTATTTTATTAGCTGGCCCATTTACTTAGAAATACTATATATAGTCCCTCATTATCACCCAAAAAGAGGATCGGAATTCATTAGCAAAAAACTCTTGTAACAGCTTTCTTCACAGCTAATAAAAACTCTCTTGAGATCTTTGTGTTTGCTTGCTTTCGACAGAACTTTACAAACCCTAAAGAATCACTTAGATTCTAATTGTGAGATTCGACCGCCACAATTTGGAGCCATCTAAGGGGACCAGTAAAGCTTCTTACTCAACAAGCACCACCATGCTGAGATCGGAAGAGATGACCATCGACGGAGACAACAGCGGCAGCAACCCAAAAGAACTCGTCACAGACAGGTCAGCAGCGAAGGACGCCRYGACAGACAAGCCCRGAGAGAAAAACGTCGCAGCAGACGGATCTACACAGATGCAGACGCCGCCTGCCACGGAAGAAAATCTCGACCCTTTGGCTCAGATAAAGAAAATGTTCGACGAGCTAGTTAAGWAGTCAAAGGAGCAAGACATCTTCAACAATACTCTAACCAGGCGAATGGATTCCCTCGTCACGGCAAGCCGCGGAAGAGGAAAAAGACCCGCGCCGCAGGCAACAGATCGCGTYACYCCGAYAATGCTAAACTTCTCAACGCCTATGGAGGCACYTAGGGTCCGTCGAATCAATCTGAATGTTGACCCAACCCCTGGGAGCCACGGGCGAGATGTAAACAAACATGCAATGACAGCTATCAAATCGGCACTACCAGACGGATCGGCGCCAGCTGGTGGGTCACCATCAGTGGTCGACCTTGAAGACGATGCCGAAGAGGATAGCCCTGATGAACCACGCGAACCAAGTCAGGAAGCTGCAAGGCAGGATCAGACCGCTCGCAAAGAAACCTATTACGAAGATGACGAGCGTTATGCTGAAGAACTCGCCTTCGAGGAAGAACGCTTCCTCCAGGAAAGACAGCAAACTGGCAAAAAAAGGAGAGCCGCACCGCAATCGCAGCAAGCCGAGTTGGACGAACTTCGAGCTTCTATGAACCGGACAGCTCTAGACCTAAAAGAGATGCGC